CTAGAATCACATGACCGGCTTCGTGGTTCTTGCTGCTCGTCAGGCATGCGTATCCGGTGACCTTTTGTCCGCTCATTCATATAGTTGTACCCAGGAAGTGTATTTTCGTCACAATAACCTTGTTTGCAACAAAGGGTGACCATTGGGTAGACAGCTCTTTCAGAGCCAGTCCAAGAAAGAATCAATGCTATGATTCGGTGTTTTGTAAGTGGGTTAGATGCTACTAATCGCAACAAACGTGACCTGATGGTCTTTGTAGAATATTTCATATCAAGTAGTATGTGAATATATATATATATATATATGCATATAAAATTGTTTGATTGTGTTGTGATACGTGGTTTAGACTGAAACGATATTAACCCTTGGTATTACCCAATGACAGACCAAAAATGGAACAGCTCACCCTACTCATCGAATGTGCACTTTTCCAAAGCTAGACGTTACTTGAAAACACCGGTTGCTTACACACTGACAGTGTGAATTTAGGGAACTGAACTACATTTTATTTAAACTATTTTCCTAAGGTTTTTTATCCGCAGGGAAAACGACCCACAAACCCCGGTTACTTTTCACACAACGAACCAGGTCGTCTCACCCACTACCATTAATAATCAGCGATCAGCAGATTCCTATGAATTGGTTTATCGAATTATCCTTTGCTTGGTACCGGGTTATACGTTACACCTGTTGTTGATCAATGTACAGTCTTGACAATATCCGACAACGTTTTGACAAGAAATAGGGGTTTTCAGTTGTTTAGTCAATTCTCTTTTTTATGCCACCATGATTATCTCTTTATTCTTTCCAGTTGCTGCTGATCGTAATCTTCGTCGTCGCCAGAATTGTACGGATGTGCTCACACCGTTGGGGTTGGAACCGGTATCACGACGTTCTCGGGGTACTCCTAAGGTCCTAAACTAAACCGTCTACAACAAGTCATTCCGTACTATTGATTCCGTTCTGCTCAATGCGGCGTTCATGTGCGGCTTACCATCTTCACCATAACATTTTCTCTTGTGTCGCGTGGTTTTCCTGTCAAACTTCGACATACTATGCCACCCCCGCTTAGACTTCTGAAACCAGATGTGGTTTGTTACTTCCTCGTTCTCTCACTGTTGTTTACCGTATGTACCTATTCACAGATCCAATCCTTGGACAATGTATTTATCTTATTCATTTATTGTTGTCTTTGTTCGTGTATCAGGACTAGTTGGAGTAGAACGTGAAAAATCCGGAACGTGCGCAAATGACCTTGACATGAAGTTAACTATTCTCAGCATAACTGGTGTTGTGGTTTATTTTCGCCCCTAATTTATCGACAGGGAAACGAAATATAATTCAGTGCTACCTCTAGACCATCGGGACGAGACTGTGGTGTGATGGCTTGTGCACCTCTGTGACCCAACGAGCTACACAGGATGGCTTTTTTCAAGCCGAAGATCTAATCATGCCTGGAAGACCAGTGGGTAGAGGTCAGAAAAACTTCAGTCTCATGGTTCTCCAGGTTGGGGGTTCGCCTGGAATTGGCGTTTCAGTCGATAAAAGGCGGTGGAGGAGTAATCGACCCAAGTAAATGGGCCTCCACTTCGCCTCACCCGCTGCCTTGCGGTTAGGTTCTTGTTAGAACTGAAGGCTTTGGACGAGAACCCTAATCGCTGTCCTGCTTAGTGGCTAGACACCCTAGCAGTACCTGTCCATCAAACCCCAATGCATACACAAACAAAAAGTAATAACATACTGCATCGGTCGTCGCGCAGGATAATCAGGACCCATTGCATCGAGCGGGGTGGGTAGTGATAAGTGGGCTACTGCTCAGATATCCCAA